ATAAACTTTCCAGTGCATATATAGTACAAGAAAAGTAAATAAAAGAAAAAAGTGAATACATCGGCTGCCATCACTCTACATATTTTCAATTAGAATGCCCTCATTTAATTTCCCATTAACCCAATTTGTCTACGATAACAAAAATATCAGTTTATAATTAATTGACAATTGTAAAGTAAAGTATCTTTTTGCCTTATACTCTTTCATTATATACTCTTGACCCTTCTGAGAAAATTTATATTGCAGAGCGGCCTGTAGAGTTGTATTTCTAAGAAATAAAACTCTGTCACAATTACACAAATATTATCCAACTATAGAAAAAGGTTATAACTCTCAGAAAGCATCGAATTTTTCAGTTGTGAACATTTTATATTTTTGTACGATTAGGACAGACAAAAATATAATATATTATATAAAATAGTTTCTTTAATATACAATAGTTTCTTTAAAAATTCATTAATATTCATAAATTCATTAATATATATTTTCTCTATGTCAATTTTATGTTTCAGTTTATGTCAATTTTCCACAAATTTAATATCTACTTTCCCCGTAATTATACAGGATATTTCTACAGTAATTAATTCATAATCTCTCTTTAGTACCACTATGATATAAATTAAAACATGCCTAGCAAAACAACCAATCTATCTTCATATGACAATATAATTTATTTGATTTATATTTATATAGTATATATAATTTATTTGATTTATTTTTATATGGTATATTTATATAGTATATATAATTTATTTGATTTATATTTATATAGTATATATAATCTATTTGATTTATTTTTATATGGTATATTTATATAGTATATATAATTTATTTGATTTATTTTTATATAGTATATTTAATTTATTTGATTTATTTTTATATAGTATTTAAATATTACAAAGCTAGAATCTGACATGAATAAAAATCCGCGACATTGCATTAAGTTATTTCCCTCCATTGATAAAGCAGTTAGACGAGCAATTGTCATCGACGATGGTCTATAGAAGTAATTACAGTTTCTATTTTCGCATCTGACTGCCAGTTGGTAACCTGGTTGGTCTTAATACTGCACTTGTGAACGTACTGCTCCCTGAATAATGTCCGATGTTCCAACCGACGCCATGACGTTTTTTTTCAACATCGTTTCCCATTCCTCGTTGGATCGACTTTCTAACACGGTTTGCGCTAACAGCGCAAGTTCGATTACAGTATCTTCCGAATCACTTTTGTAACTGATTGAAACAATCGAAACGAGATAGAGACGTGCGAGAACGCGAAAGTATAGAAAAGCGGATGATCAGGATCAAGCCGGGTTTCCGACTCTTTCAAAATTCCTGAATATTTCGTGATTCCCGAAAAAGTCGGATCTCTTCTAGAAATTCTGCAATTATAAAAGACAAAATACGAAGCAAAAATCATCACCGATGATGTAACATTTTTATTTTAAATTTAAATAAATTAAAAGTTATTATTTGATTATATATTATTTTAAATTTTTATTTTAAATACTTAAACAGCTAATCTTTCTGATTGATGTAATTTTATTCTGTTTTCGGGGAAACTCGATCCGAACCCGAAAAAAAATATGTACGACTCGATATTTTCGCGTTGCATACCGCTGTGAGAGATAATGCATTGATAATAAACAATTTTGCGTCTCTTGAATGAACAAATTTCAAAATGTTGCAGATTCTTTTGTCGAGTTCGTGACGAGTAACGAAATTCATCAGATAATTATTTCGATTAGCTTGAACATTGAGCTTATAAAAACTTGTTCGATGTTTTCGAATAGTAAAAATTAAGTAATAATAACGTTACTTATAAAATAAGATACGTAACACGATGGAACTATACTGTAAGAAAATGTTCTGTACATTGTAATTCCTTGTCAAATGAAAAAAATTGATTTATTTTTTCATATAGTATTTAAATATTACAGAGCTAGACTCTGACATGGAAAAAGTACTTCCTTATTCATCGTTATTCAGTATCCTAATAGCGACGCCGAAGAATATTGATATCTTCAAGTACATTGCTGTTTTCTTTTATCGAATTAAGAATATCGAGTTCAAGTGATAGCACGTCGACCTGATTTGAAAATATTTTATCCTAAAAATAACCTTCACGAAGTTCATGACTTTATAATTTAATTTAATACAGATTTGCTGTAACTGAAATATATAATATTTATATAATATTATATACTAAATATTAGATATTAATTATATATCTGAACAATATATATTATATAATACTATATATAATATGTAATATCTATAATAATTACATAATATGATTACAATATACAGAAATTTGTTGGACAAAAGTGAAGGTCGAAAGTTATTTATAATAATATATTGTTTAATTATTAATAAATTGCATAATATATATTATATTATCTTCTTTAATCTTTCCATTGTTATTGCGAGTATTCATTACATAAAGGAATATTTAATTTCCATTGTTATTGCAAATATTTATTACATAAAGAAATATTTAATTTCCACTGTTATTGCAAGTATTTATTACACAAAGAAATATTTATATATAGTCACATGTCACAGAAAGATTTTGATGAATCGTATCATTATCGTATAAAAGAAATATGTATCATATCACTAAAGCTATGAATATTATTTAAATAGTTAGAAATTAATTTTTACTTACAACTGTTTCTGAAACTGATGTAAGTTAAATATCAGAATTCACTCCGATACAATAATATTATTAGAAAGTGAAACGAATTATTTCACTAATTCTCTGCTTTTCAAAGTCATATGATGTAGATGAACTAATTTCTTCGAGATCTATTCCACGTAATATTTTTATCCAACGTTTTTCTCTTTCTTTCTTTGTTTATTCTTTTAAACATCGTTATTAAGATTAGTTCAACACTTAATACAACATAATAATAATCATAGACAAGATAATAAAAATCCCTGTGATTTTCAATAGATTAAGTAATTATTGTCATTTTGTTGAAAGCAATTGAAAAACTTGCGTGTGTATATGTTTATATGTTTGTTTAATGAAACATGGGTGACAAAATGACAGAGCTGAAAGATAGTGAAAAGATCAGGTCCTCATAATATGGCGAATAATTATTGTGTAGAATAATTGATTACAACAATTAGTAAGCAATTATTGTAAAAAATGAAAATCGTCTGTGAAAAAAAGAACATTACGTGAAATTGCACAGGAAGCTACATTTGCAAATATACAATCTATTTTGCGAAAATATGATTGAAAGAAGAAAAACGGGAAAACTATTATTTATTTATGCATGAATGGCGGTAATTCGTAATTCATAAAAAATAATAATTTCGATAATTTATAAGTATATTTTTTATAATTATAATTATAATTTATAAGTATAATTATAGTTATAATTTATAAGTATAATTATATTTTTAGGGGAAGAAAACATTTATACTTGATCTAATGCTGATGACATTATTTTCATGATTTTAAAAAAAGATTAACAGTATCGAACTAGATACTAAATAAAAAAACGGAGAGATTTTGTAGTTGTTATCTATATGGGTCTTATGTGGTTATAGTTTTCACAGTAGTTAGATGTAAAGAAAAGACGAGTACTGAACTGATAAATGAAAAAGTAGAAAGTATGGATTACATGAAACTCATAAACGAGCAAATAACAGCACGTGTAAAGCATGTAAACAGAGAAAAATTCGTAATTCAAAAAAATAATACAACCCTGTATATTCTGATACTCATAATGTCAAAGTTTTATATTACTGGATTTAAATATTATCAAGAACGTGTAAGGCAATTATTTCATTCTTTTAATTTAATTAAAAATTTTGAAATTGTATAAATATTGTCAAGAATCTATGAGACAATTAACTCATTAGAAATTAAAAATCTCTAGGCCGAAATTCCATTTCTAAAATATTTATGAAAACTTTATACAATAAAATAAACGTCAAACCTACAAGATTTTTGGAAATTATAGAAAAACTAGGAAGAATATATATACATCATCGAAAGTAGAGTAAAATATTTGTTTTTAAATTAAATTATTATTTTTCAATAGATTTATACACAAACTTCAAAAATATGAGAAATTCAAAAGCGAATATGAGACATGATTGATAAGAAAAACATTTCGATCAATATAAGATTGTGAAACGCTTGCTATTGTAAGCTTGATATTTATACTTTAAATGATTGAACAGAAACTTCCATATTATGAAAATTTCTAATTTAGTAAACATAAATGTCGTAAACACTATACTCGTAAATATTAAATAAAAATAATATACATACCTATTTAAATTAACGATCATTTTATTTATACCATGTTTTGCACTTGTATGTCTACGTTGCATACATTTTATCTGAATAGTTATTAATATCTTCAAAAAATTGGAAATGAATTTCTTCATAATGTTATTTTCGAGGATTATTGTTTACAACATATTGCACGATGATAGTAATTAGCACCATCAATAAGTAATAAGTAACTATTTTTTTCAAATTCCAGTTCCAGTTACTAACTTTTATTCTACAAACAACTAAAGCAAAAACTGATAGTACAAGGAATCAAATAGAATTTCTTACTCTCTGAACTATTGGAAGCTCACGTTCCTGTCATAAACTCGATTTGGCTAGCAAACCATAAAACTTACCGAACTATTTTCCAACGAAATACGTACTGTCGTACAAAAATTTATATCTATCATATCATACTAATGTAATATCCTTCATTAAGCTCTTCAATGTATCAATTTGAAGCGTACATCGATATTCCTATCCATATGCATACATACTACAAGTCTAATAAGAATATCCCTCTTAAACATCTTTCGAAAATGTGAAAAAGTTTTATATAATAAAATTGCTCGGTATAATATCTCTTTCGCGATCGGTTTAATAATCTATTTTAAATCTATTTTCAGCTCGAACGAAGTATAATAATCTATCTTTTGTGATCTGTTCCTCGCCAGTTTAATAATCTATTTTAAATTTATTTTCAGCTCAAATGAAGAGGTTGAGAGATCAGATGGCTGGAATTTTGTCACATATTCCCGAGCAAGGTGTCGTGAATTGGAGCAAGATTCCTGAAGGAGCGAACACCACCTCCACCACCAAGGTTAGTCACGCGTAAATATTACGCTCATTTCCGGTTGCCTCGTTCGGATAATCACTTCACTCGCTTGACAAATTTGTTCCTTCAGCTAGAATCCTTTGTTACTTTGATTTACTACGCATCTAGTCTTTGTATAATGAAACGTACATTCTCGATGAATATATCCAAAGCAAGTATAATTCTGATCATTAAAAGTGGGAATCTTATTTGCACCAATTCGTACTTGGTGTTTATTGACAAAGGAAGTAACGAGTGACAAATTATAACGATTATTATTGTATATGAATAATACCGGAAATATCTTGAAAAATTGAAGAGAAACTGGTGAAAATCATCGAATGAGAAATTAAAGCGAATCTTTTTTTTTTGTATTTTTCTTAACTTTTTCTTAATTTTTCTTTTTTAATGTATATTTTATATATAATATATATAATTCTATATAATTTTATATATAATTCTGTTTTAATTCTGATTTATGGAAAATACTAACTTTTGTCTTTTCAAATACAGAAATGGGAGTTTTCTATTTGAACATTTTATTTGAGTATTTATTAAATACTTGTATGTTTGTTAAAGTTACAAAAAAGTACGTTTTATATATTAAAATTGCAAACAAGTTTAAATATAATATAATACTGAACGTATAATAACGATAATAAAATATAGTTGTAGCACTTTTAATGATCACCAATCCCTTTCGTAAAATGTAATAGTAAAAATAATATCATTGCAAAGATTTTAGATGGTCGCCTTTAAAATAATGCTTCAATATCATTAAATTTAAAATAGGTAAATAAGTGTTGAAACAATAAGTATCTACAATGATTCGTTACGTTTCACTCGTGAAAGATAATATCGTCCAACTTGTATCATTATTCAAAGATTATATAATTAATAGGATTGCTTAAGAGTACAACTGATGCACAGTCGCCTCTGGCCGAATGTGTGCAATTTACGTAATAAATTGCGCAACTTAATCTACACATCAATGCTGATCGTGAGATGAACTATCTGTTGTGCTATTTATTATTCGTGTAATCTTTGAAATTCATTAAAAATTGTTACAATTGTTAGATTTTCATGCGTTTTCAAATTTTTTTAGAGCATAACGAAAAAAATAAAAATATCTTTTTCATCATTATATATTGTGATAAATACTTTGCTTTACATATTATATCCATTTTCAATTTCCCATGAATGCATAATCAAAGTTTAAAGAATTTAACAGGTAAACAAACATTCATAAACAAAAATTAATATTTTATACGTAGTATTAACTTTCATCCGTTTCTTATGTTATTTTTTATGTCAATTAATTTGTAGGAAATTGGTACGAAATTGACAAAATGCCTATAATGAAAAGATAAATAATTAAATTTGCAAATTTTTTTATTAATAACAAATAAATTAAGTTTCTAAATTGCGTATAAGATTTACACAAATCCTACTCTCACGCGTATTTAATTCCTTATTGTGATGTTATTCTTTTAAATTTTATTTATTTGTTTATTTTGGATTTTCAACTTGTTACAACTATGTTCAGAACAATAAATGTTTTGCTTATTTTCACTTTGGTACATTAAATGTGTAATAATAATAATGTAATTAAAAAGCAATGTACTATCTGTTAATGATCTTGAAAACAAATATTTGTAAATTTGGTAACATACAGAAAAATAAATGTCCTTTATACCTATAAGTTTTGGATTGTTACATAATAAGACATTTTATAAGAAAAATGCGTTGAATTCACACAAGAGACAGATGAGAGTTGAAGATTTATTTAATATACACAAAAGAAAATAATAGTATAATTTGAAAAATGATATCAGGAATTGGTAATATGGAGCTCGTTACTGTGCTCGATACAAGTACATAGTAATACATGTAATAAGTACATACAAGTATCAAATTAATAGTGCAGGATACTTGAAATTAAAAAATTTAAATATAAGATATTGATAAAACTATCCCTCATCAAACAAATGTTCATACTATATTTTTATTAACAAACTTTAATATGCATTAAAAAAGAGAATTAATGTAATACCTAGCACGACAGGCTGTTAGGGAGATCTCTTTTCAAATATGAAACGTTTGAAGTCTAAATCGATCATCACTCAATTCTCATTTAAATCATTATGTATCAAATCAAAAAGATTTCAATAAGTTAGCAGTATCTATACCAAGCATTAATGTCTCTCATATTTTTTAAATATACATTTAAATTCGTAAATATAATTTTATATCAATAAACTGATTTAAGATAAATAACATTAAATGTATTTTAAGGTTGCAGCTTCCTCTCCAATAAAATTTTACTAATGTCCTTTCTAATAAGCCAATCATTTGGAGTATTCTTTTTAGTAAAGTTTAGAAGTGAAACTTTATATTTCAAACCTACTTTAATTGGAATTATCTTTATGAAATAACAATTAATTATCTATTCAATAATCTTTTATTTTAATTTCTTTTTCAAATCGACAATTCGTTTATAAAGTTTCGAAAAATTCTTTAATTCTTTAATCTTGCTGTTCTCACTTTTTTATCACATTCAGTATCTTTTTTTTTTTAAGAGCATTTCATTAAAAAAAAGATCGTAAAATTTTATTGAACATTAAAATCAAATGTTTAAAAATTATATGTATTTTGATAATATTTAAAGAAAAGAAAAATACGTTCAATCATGTTACGTTAAATTTTTTCTGCCAGTCCAAATTATGTGATTTCGTTAATATCACTATTTTTGTTCTAAGTTTTTGCCTTAAAAAAATATTTAAAATACAACATATTTAAGACTATATTCGTAGTTCGGTTAGCTGCTTAAAACTGAATTTAAATTATTCAAGAATTTTTATTAAAAAAATTTTTTTGTCTAGGTCATCAATGGACACGTGTTGACCATCAATGAAACGACCTATACCGATGGTAACGATGAATATAGCACGTTGATCCGCGTCCGTGTGATAGACGTGAGACCTCAGAACGACACTCTTCTGTTGACCGAAAGCGAGGCAGATCCCGAAGTGACCACTCTGCCTACAACGGTTACCAGCAAAGAAGACCGCACTACACCTTCACGAAGCGTGGAAACCGTCGAAGAATTCGATAACGAAATACCGAAGAACCAAGTGGACACTCTAACTGCTTAAGCAGTCGAAAAACTTTGAAACATAGCGTCAGGCTTATTGAATCCGGAAGATCGTTTCTATCGTTCGTAAATTTCTCTGAAAATTTAACAATTGGCACTTCTGTTTACATTATATCGAATATCTTATGTACAATATCTTCATTAAAGTATTTGAGATTATTGTGTACAGTATTGTGTTTAAAACACAATGTCAAAACATTTATAAGCAATTTATAATCTAAAGTTTATAAAACTATTTACAGTCCTAATCTTTGTGAAACAAATATTATGTTTTTCTAAAATTAAATCAATAAATTGTATAACGAGAATAACACGTGATCTCGTATTTTTATAAATTATTTCGATTGTATTTTTATATACTTACTTATATATGTTCGTTGTACACTTAATCGGATGATATTTAAATAAATGCATAGCAGAAGAACGTAAGATATCCGTCCGTGGCGCTCTTTTGGATTCAATTCGACGACGTGTATGAAAAAACTGTAAACCATCGCGAGGCAATAAAGTCGATTATTGTAGATTTATATAGATGATATACATATAATGTTGTATGTTCTCCTATAGTTATATATACGTTGTGTATTTAAGAATTGCCTGTAACGAAGCCGATTGTTGTAACATTCAAAAATATGCCTCCTTAAAGATAAAACGTATGAACTAAATTATACGTAGCTGCGTATGACAATCCTATGAATTATCAGCAATAGTAAAATCACAGTATGCGTTTGTACACCATTTATAATATTCGCTAATAGGGAATTTTGAACGGGAACTTTCGAAGTTTTGATTAAATGAGAAAGTTGCATGATCAACAATGTCGTCCTTCCTTCTTCCAGATACATAAATTTTCCTCTCCATAGTGAAGTATTAAGAAATACCATGTAACAGAAATTTGATACTTGCATTCGTTTGTAATGTGCGATCGAATTTTAATTATACTAATATATCTTTGAAAGAACACTCAAAAATTCTCACGCATAAGTGAATACCGAACTATCTGAAACTATAGAATGGTTGATTGTGATTCAATCTTCGACTGAAGGGGGCTTGTAAAATAAACTGAAATCTATTTTTTTATGAAATCAGAAACAGTACAATTTAAAGCGTAGCGAATTATTTCATGTGAAGACAGTTTTTTTAATGGAACTTAATGTTTGCATAAAAAATAAACATTGTTGGCATAAAATTGAGTTATCCATTTAATTTTCCCTATAGAATTTTAGTGATGTTATATAGCGAAATAAAAGAATATTAATATAAGAAATATATGAAAATTAAATTTAGAAATAAATTTCAGACCTTGTCCCAAAATTGTTATTATATTGTGACATTAAAATCCATCTACACATAATATTAGTAATATTAAATAAGTAAGAAAAGTGAGTTTTTCTTTATTAATAAATTAAATACCGTTATTAGGATAAATATAGTATAGGAAGATTCGAAACTAAAAATTAATAGCAAATCTTTTCTCTTGAAAACTTTCATATTGACCTCAACTTTTAAAAATATATAATTCAGTACAATATCAGGACATCTAAAATTATCAGATAATACTGTTGAGTCGCTTATGGTTGGAAGCGAATTGTATGGTGTCTGTACTCAAAATTAATCTTGCACGTGTTGAAAACCCGTAGTTTTTAGTTGATCGATTAGAAAAGATCCAGCAATTCTGTTCAACTGAGTTATTGTATATACTTCGAAATTGTAACTGATTCGCAGTTGTATCTGTCTTTCCCGCTGATGACGGGCCTGTTTTACAAGCTTTGACTGAATTATAGCCAATCAATTGAAAGTTCGATTGCCCTGACCTAGGCACTAATATTTAAATGTCTTTAAGAAATGTCAATCGTTCTTAAAGGCCGCTAAATAGAACAAGCCTGCGGTCGTCTCTCGGGGATAACAAAAATAATATTCTTTGGCATAAAATGTTTTTATACGTATTCGAGAATATTGTAACGACAACGCGAAACATTTGGAAATGCTTCGACCACTTCGTTGAAACCATCAAGGCTTCAACATTTACTTAAATTTTATTTTTATATAATTGCACGCAACATTACATTCTAAAGATTTCTTTAAAACCGTCCATTTCAAGTCTGAATGTCTAAATTTCTAATCTGGATATCTCAAAGGCACTTTTAAAATTTCTAGTAGTAGACGTTTCAAGAATATCTGATAAAAAAGAATGTTGGAGAAGTGTTACAATTTAAAAATACAATTATGATTAATTATTACATTTTGAGTGTGAATTTTTATGCATGCACGAAAAACTTAAAATTGCAGAATTGCAGAGAATCCACATAATCTAAAAAGATATGTAAAATATTTAAAGTATTCCATTTTTTATAATATGTTAAGTCAAGACTGATGAGTATACCTTTGAGTATATTCCTTGGAATTTGAAGGATATAAATATTATATAAATATTTAAAGTATTCCATTTTTTTATAATATGTTAAGTCAAGACTGATGAATATACCTTTGAGTATATTCCTTGGAATTCGAAGGATCAGCCACTGTTGTACTAAATAACTGATGCTGTATTTTACAATAAGTCTGATGGCTTCTACTAGATTTAAAAAGCTTGGTTTGTCTAAATGATCAAGGTACTGACGATTACGTTCGTATTGCGTTAAGATACTCTTAACCGAATATTAACTGACGTCTGATGATTAGTTTCTTGCTTTGATTAGAATGTTAAAAATCACTCTCTCTGATTTCCTTAAAAATCCTCTTTTATAACAAACTTTGAGTACTCTTTCTAAAGGATTCTGAGCAATTGTAGAGCAGTGGATGTGTCAAGACTAATCAGGAAGTATAGAGAAGGTCTAAAATTTCTCATCGCCTCGAGTGAAAGTAGATTAGCATATCTGGAAACTACCCCGTTACATGTACAATATTTCGTGTACGCATATATTTATGACGTGGGAATTCCTATGGTGACCTCATCGCACTTCAGACTAATTGAAATTTATGGGATGTCTAATCGAAATTCTAAGTGACCTATACCTATGAGTTGTAAACACAAATGTTTGGACATTTCTAATTTAACATGCTGGATTGCAGCACATCCATGTCATAAGTGGTACGTATCGTTTTGCATAAAAATTCGCTCTCTATTCATTATTTCTAAAAAATACGTAAAATATCTTAAAATTCCAAATTAAATTAATTTTAATTTTATTAATTATAATAAAATTATAATTAAATTATTATAATTAAAAATTAAATAAAGACATTTTAGTTTATAATATAAAGCAGAGATATTAGAGGGCATGTTTAAAACATTTCCAAAATATAATCAAACGTTTTTCAGACATGGGTTATTACCTAAATATCAAAATGGAATAATTACTGATAAATTATATATATATATATTAATGTTATTAATATAAAATTAATTATATATTAATTAATAATAATTATATATGCAATATATAATTATTGAAATGCAAAATATTCTTATATCAACTTAAATAACTTGAAAATTCTTGTCTAAATAATAAATAATTCTAATATATAAATCTACGTGTAAAGTTATTTTAAAAAAGAAAGAACGGCAACTTATCTTTCTCTGAAATTTTGAAATTGTACAAAAATTAAACGACTTTAACTTATCGAAAAGTCTTACGGTATAAAAGATATTGTCTGAAAATTTGAAATCAATGGAATGAATTTCACAAGCATGGTGACATTGAGTAAACGTGTTTAAAATTCTAAATTAACCAATATAAAATGTTGATGACAATTTAAAAAAACATTAAACTTTTTTTTTAATTCTCTAAAACATTTTTTTAATTCTCTAAAACATTCTCTAGACATTTTTTTAATTACGCTCATTACGATAATATGAAATATTAGCTATTTATTTATCTACGTTTATTTAATATTTATTAATTATAATAGTTTGATATTTTGAGAACAATTCGAAGAATATTCGAGTCGTGTTTAAAATTCAAATTCAATAAACTCAAATTTTACATTTCTGACATCAGAAATGGTGACATCTATCCTAGTGATATTTCGTTTTCGGCAAGTGTGCACCTTGATACCCGACGTTCTCAAGATTAAAGTGGCAAAATTCACCGTACAGGGTATAGCTGTCATGTGGACGTGTCGAAAACGGAGGAAAGTAAACGGGAATCACAGTCGCGACAATGACGTCGCGCGACAGGACCAATGAATTTGTTAACGCTATTCGAACAATGCAAAGCAGAACCGTGGCTCGAACAGCGGTTTTGCAAAATCCTCGTCGAGCACGTCAATTACAAAGTTACTCGAACTTTATGTTGATAGCTAAGAGTATTGGAAGGAATATAGCGAGTACATATGCTAAATTAGAAAAGCTTGCATTAGGTAAGATTACAATGATTATTTAATGTTAAGCTCTTGTTCAGTCTAGCACAGCATATTTATGTTATGTAAATAAAAAGATGAGATTACAGTGTAAATCCTCTTATCAAAATGAATACCAATTTGAAGTTTAATGTAGATTACATCAGTTAACTATTGAACTTTGATTGAAGTGATGTTTTGATCATTGTTTGAAGTTCATTTTACATTAAATTCTTCCATTTATTTTTGATTGAAAAAAGTAGATAACTTGTATCGTATATAAAAATTGTATACATGTAAATATATATGCAATATACATATGTTAAACTTAAATAGATTGGAGTATAAACATATTTATATGTGTAACAATACATATTTATTAAATCAATTGTTTCAGTGGCAAAAAGAAAATCTATATTCAACGACAGACAAATGGAAATTGAGGAATTAACAAATATTATAAAAACAGATTTGAAAAGTTTGAATCATCAAATAGGAAAACTACAAGAGCTTAGTAAAAAGCAACGGGAAGGATATGGTGCTTCTCAGAGTCATCACATGGCCTCGCATTCGTCATCAATTGTTATGGCCTTACAATCAAAGTTAGCAAACATGTCAAATCATTTTAAAAGTGTACTCGAAGTGAGATCAGAGGTATGTAAGAAAAAGAAAAAACATTAGAGTTGAAAAGAAAAAGAAAAATACTATAGTTGAGTAATAATTCTCACAAAAATGTATACAGAATATGAGAGAAGAACAAAGTAGAAGACAACAATTCACTCAAGGATCTGTATCTACCATGTTACCTCCAAGTGTAACTGGAAAACAAGGTTCATTGTTACTGCAAGAAGAAAATTCGCCTTCTTCCGTAGCTATAGATTTGGAACCAGCAATGGGACAGTTAACAATGCAACAAGCAATTCAAGATGATAATGTAAGCTATACAACATATATGATGAATAACGAGAAAATAATAATACAATCAGTCTATTCAATTAGGATGCATATGTCCAATCAAGAGCAGAAGCAATGCAAAGCATTGAATCAACTATAGTTGAACTCGGTGGAATTTTTCAACAATTAGCACACATGGTCAAGGAACAAGAAGAAATGGTAGAAAGGTAAAAACATTTTAATCATATATTATGAAATATCTAAACAAATTATTATGTTCAGGCATATACAAGATAGTCCATTTAGCAAGGCCACTTAAATATCTTTTGAATTATGATGATGCAAAAAATATAATATTGTAGTATATCGAAATTTGTCGGTAATTCATGATAGAATATATTCAATGCAATATGATATTCATTTATGGTAAACATGACCAGTATTTGGAGAGAAGCAGTTCGAGTGTACAAAAATACATTTCGTAATCGTAATTGTCCATCACGAAATACATACGCAAAGTTAGTCAAAAATTTTCGTCAAACTGTCGGCAGTTTTATGTGTGTGAGAATTATGTGTTAAAAGGAAAAAAATTTCATTGAATGAACAAAGACTTTGGAGAATAAAGTGTGGTGCAGTATTAGATTATTTTTGAATAATCAAATAATTAGTCTGTATTTTATAAACGATATTTTAAACGAAGAAAAGTATGCGACATTTTTACAAGATGAGCTACAAATGCTCATGCATAATGTACCATTAGTATCCATTAGGGGTGTGCGGGTATCCGAAATTTCAGGTTTGGGCTTGCACAAAGAATAATGCCCAATTCGAATAAGCCTTGTTCGAATAAAATCGTTATTCGTAAATATCGAATAATTTATTCGAAATATTATTCGAATAATGCCCACCTCTGATCCTATCTCCCTTGAACTTTTTCCAACTCGATCCGAAATCGTCGGGCTACCCGCTCGAGCCCGCCCGACCCGAACAGTCGCGTACCCGCATATCCCTAGTAATGAAATTGTTGCATGGCCACCGGTTGTATTCGCCGAATCTCACTCCAATGGATTTTCTTTTCTTTTCTTTTTTTTTTTTTGTGAAGAAAATTAAAATAAACAGTTTATCAACGAACACCCACCTATACCAAAAGATATGAGAATAATTAGAGCTAGTGCTGGATTAATTCTGAAAGAAAAGAAAGGTTATCACAATCACTTATTTATTACTTGTTTAAAACAATGCAGAAGGGCAGCATTTTGAATATTTACTGTGACGATAATAATAAGCAAAAAAGTAAGCACTGGCTTAAACATTTCATGATTAAATCTTCTAGAATATTTAATACGATCTTATTAGCTAAAATCAGTGATCTCGATAGAAATAAATTTACATAAAACTTAAATTTTTCGGTATCAATGTCATCTCAAGGTTATGTTCTTTACATATCTGAATGTATTTTTTTTTATCAACTACATGCAATAAAAAGAAAACATTGTTGTATGAAAAAAAAGAACATTAATGAAAATTCTGAAAAAAATGACTTTGGGAAAAAATATTCTTATTGATCTTTTGATACCATTCATGTTAAGTAAAAAATATTTTTTGCATCATCACGATTCGAAAAGATATTTAAGTAGCTTTTCTTAAAAAACCACTCTGTATATACATTAATATATTTAAATAATATATCTAAATACATATAATGAAATAAATAATCAAATACCAGGAAGTAATGAATTTAGTGCATTTCATGACTCTTTGATTAACAATTTCGATATATTTGAATTTTTAATCTTGTTGAAACAATTATATCATTTTTATACGGAATACATTTATTAATGGATGATATTTACAATTATTTATGAATTTATTATAATAAATTTAAATAAACTTTCAGGATAGATAGCAATATAGAAGATACAGAATTGAATGTGGAAGCGGCACATGCAGAAATCTTAAAATATTTCCAATCTGTAACTAATAACAGGTGGTTAATGATAAAAATTTTCGCGGTTCTTATATTTTTCTTCATATTTTTTGTAGTATTTTTGGCATAAAACAATTATTACATTATTATTATATATATTTCTTTACGCAACTTTGTAGTTGACCATCCATATCCATTACATGTGATATAAGATGATCGAAGAACAAGACGAATTTTTATAAAATTACGACTCATTAGTCATAGAATTATAATATAGTTATTGCATTCCTCAACCTCTTTGTTGAATTGTGAATACTGTAAGTATTAATTATTAAAAGATCCATCAATGTAGACAAAATTCTACATTGTTGTTTATAAAATGTAAAAAGGAAGCTGTGGGTAATAAATGTATAATTTTCAATGCTTGGTAATTTTTGGTATATATGTATGTACGCGTGTAGCAACTGAAGATCATAAAAGTTATAAAACATAACGTAATAATAAATTACAATTTATTTCAATTTCTTTAAAATCTTATATAACAATTGTATTTAATTTAAATTCATATTACAATTTATTTCTCGTCTGAATGTTTACGAAGATAGTAAATTTTTAAACGAAGATTTACATAATTACATGTATAAAGAAACATTTTTACAATTTGTCCTATACTTCAGTACATTTCTAAAGAGTAATTAAATATATATATATACAATTTGCTTTTTCCCCTTATTTATATAACAATGATGGCTAACAGACATACTTCTGATAGCAATACATGTTTATCACATTTGATAAATCAAAATGCATGATTTTCTATTTCATGAAGTAGTAAATGCTGGTTGATCTATTAGCCTTGACATATCATTGTTATTTATTTATTGAAACTTTGTTTTATAACTAAATATTTTGTAACTATAATGACAAGTTTAACGCATATACGAAGATATTTTATAACAAAATAAAAGACTCAGACTTTGCTGTTATGGTGTGATTTGTCCAGCGATTCTCCCGAAGAATGTAAGGAACCTGAGAATAATAGTAAATTGTAAATAACATGTTTTATCTACTACCAATTTGTTTTAATTTGAAAAGAAAGAATATGAAAAATGCAAGAAATAAAAAGAAGAAATAAAGATAGAATTACTTGAAAAATTAAAAATATGATACACGTAATTATAAAATTATAAATTAATTATAAAAGTAATTACAAAAATATCAAAATCAAATCACAAGTCCATGTTCTATAACATAAATTATACTTTAACAATAATATTATAATATAATGTCATTAACGAACACTACTTTCACAAAAAATTAGATAAAAGAATACATTTAATATATACTGAATAACGAAAACTTGTGATTTAATTTCGATTTAATTTAATTATATATGGCATATTTTGTACTGGTGAATAAAAACCAAAAAATTCTATATTATCAGGGAAACAAAATCAATCTCGGAACGTTCAACTTGACATACTGCATTTATTTGCAATTATTTCCCTCCATAGTACTCCAAAATTGTCTCACTTTAGAGAATCGCTTGCGTCCTTGCATGCACAACAAAAAAGAAGAAAAGAAAATAATAATGACAAAAAAAGGAAGAAACTCATTTCAATGAAAGTAAAAGTGACCATTAATGGGTGTGGCAGTTTCTTGCAGTTGCTTGTCATCTTGTACACAAACCTTTGTGATTTCGAACTCGTTCTCGTGCTTGATGGAAACCAGAATTGCGTGGAGGCGGCAGTGTTTCTTCCCCCCATACATGCGGCGTTCCAAGAGGTGGAGGTAATATCGAACCAGGAGGTGGAGGAGGTGGATGAATATCGTTAGAAAACGGAGGTGGCGGTGATCTATGATTAAAAGGAGGAAGCAAGTGTGGAGACATTGGTGGTGGGGAACCTGTATTGTCGTACCTGTTGGGAGCAGGTGGATGCAGAGACATAGGTGGAGGTGAAGACAACCGACCACCAAGTGGTGGCGGCCGCTGACCAACTTCATATGGTGGTACTCCGGACGTATTTGGCAACGGAGGTGGTAAATAGTGAGGAAATAGTGAATGTAAATAGGAAGGTGGTGGTGGCGGTGGAACATTTGAAGAACCAGAAAATATTATAGGGGAACTGGATGATTCTGCTCCTATGAATAATGGAGGCGACGTTGTCGTCTCACCATTTGCTTCCAGTCCTGTTTGAAAATTACGTTAAGAAAATACAATTTTCTACATTAAAATAATTCTACATCTGTAATATTGTATCGGTACCACTTCACCAACAATAAAATGACCTAAATATCTTCGATAATTCTCATTCTCATAACTTCAATTGATGTTTATGTACATTCAATAACAAATATTTATGTTTATAATTTCTACCAATACTAAATAGGAAATCAATTTATCACATTAAATTAGCAACAATAATCTATCAAATATATTTTTTTAAAATTAAGATAATATTCACTACTTAAAGCAATTATAACATTAAAATAAAATTAGCTATAAAATTAAAAAAAATTTTGTTTACTATACTTACGATGCAATTTTGCCTCAGAATCTACATCATTAATATTTTTTTCTATGAGAGTAAGGCGATTACGCAATTGACCTGCTTCAACCTTCGATTCCTCTAAACGACGTTCAACCTGACGAGCTATTACCTTAATGTAAAATTTAATCGAAATATTAAAACAAATTTTGTAACATAATATTTAAAAATAATCAAAAAATCCATACCCATTGCTCGTGTGCTTTTGTTTCAAGAACAGAAATTTGGTTCTTGTATTCTCTTTCTTGATCTAATATTTCCCGTTTTAACATTTCTACTTGTTGTCTAAATACAATTTAAAAAGTTTATGATTATTACATTAATCATAGAACGAATTTCCAAATATACTTTGAACAATTAACACTCACTTATAGTTTTGTATTTCATTTTGCATCGTTTGTATTCGTTCTACAGTGGATACAACTTCACCCTGCTGTTGCAACCAAATAGCTTCTTCTCTGTAATAATACATAGAATTGACATATATATCTGTGTGTGTGTGTATTTAAAAAAAAAAATTTTATATACTAATTTGAATAAACTTGTAATACTTTTGGCGTTGTGCTTCTTTTTCCTCGAAAAAATTTGTCAATACTTCAAGTCGTGTCTCTGCATCTTTTTTTTCTTTCTCCGCTATTTTACATTGTTCACTTAAAGTAGCTATTTCCTCTTTAATGACTTTTACGTGTTCTACAATTCAAAAGTATAAATATAATTTGACCAAGTAATTTTAAGTAATACTTCAAAATATACCTTCTAATAAATTATGAGCTCCTTCAGTTTCGGCCAATCGTATTTTTAATTCGTTTCTTTCTTCAAGCAATGCTGTTGCCTCAACTTTAATATGAGATACATCATACAACTTGTCCAAATCCAAGTTGTTAGAATTCAATCGATTAATAGCATCTACAAGGTCTTTTACTTCTACTTCTTTACCTTTCAACTCTTTTTGTAAGGATGCTTTTTCAGTAGAAATCTATAAAAATAAATTTTTCAGTAGAAAATATAAAACATGATACTGCACAATCACCATTGATCTCATATGTGCATATGTATTTAACACTTACTTCCTTGATTTGCATTTCTAATTGTTGCACCTTATCATTCAATGTTCGTTCGATATTATTCTTACTGTTTACTTCTAGTTTTAAATTTTCTCTAAGTTTAGTAAATTCAATTTCAAATTCTTCGTATTTCCTTTTAATAAATGTAAGCTCTGCTGATACAGATTCGTTCTGTAAAATATTCAGTATTAAAAATTACATATGTATATGAATATTCTATATATACATGAACTATTTAAATGATACCTTAATTCTGTAAAACCTATTATATAAAAGATAAGGAAAGACAGGGTAGTATTTTTACTATCCTTGTCTTTTATGCATAGATTTTACAAAATTAGAATTAAAATATCCTTTAAATTAACAGTTTTTTGACATACATAGGTTAATATCTTTTTATAAAGAATATCGAAATGCATCAATTAATATATAATATATAATAATAGATAAAAAATATATCACTACATTTAAAAAAGTCGAGATGACCTTGAAATTTCCAAACCTGTCCACGTGCAAAAAAATCATTGCCATGTTATGGCCCTTTTAGAGCTAAATAATTTTTATTAATAAAAAATTCTCCATATTTTCAAACACAATGGAGTTATTTAAATGGCCTCAATTAAATTAAATTAAATGGTTCATCCTGCACAATACTATATATTATTATACTATATTATATAATACTATTTTTGAATATATATAGTTACAAACGTTAAGTTTATTGAATTTAAGCTACGATAAATACGTAGATACAATAAACAATTAAATAGATATTCTATTTATAAAAATATTGATTACCTAATTCATATATACATACGTACCTCTTGAGTTTTAAGATTTAAAGCATTTGTTAAAGATTCATTCGCAGCTTGTTGAGCATTCAACCGACTTTGTAGATCCTCAACTGACTGAGCTAACGGATTAACTTCATTATTTGACGAAAGAACTTCCCGTAACATTTTTTCTAATTCTAATCCAGCTTCAGTAGCACTTTCTAAATCTTTTTCCAACATGGCTACTTGATCTTCTAATTCTGCTTTCGCATTCTAGTAAATTATTATTATTGTATTAATATTATATTAATAATGTATTTAAATGCAAATATTATAAAATATTACCTGTGAAGCTTCTAAATCAGCCCTTAAGGAAAGTACCATTTCGTCAGAACCGAATGATTCATCTTCCATACGACTCAACTATAATATAAAGCAATAAATTACAAATTCATTAAAAAAATAATGAATATATAATTGCAATTACCTTTTCCTTTGTCGATTTTAAATTTTCGTTCACCATTGTACATTCTGCTTCTGAAATAAGTAAATCTTTTTCAAGTTTGTTGATTCTAGCTATCAGTTGTCTATCACCCCTCATATTCTATAAACATATAAAAATTAGTAAAATTATACATACATATTTCCTTATTTATACATACTGTTGTTCATATAATTTTATACAATTTGTTAACAATATTAAATTATTAATATTTACATATATAAGAAATATATTTTAAAAGTACATAATAGTACCTCAATGCAATAGTATCCTAAAGAAAATATAAGTATTGCAATAGCAGTGACACTTAAATACATTAATGTTAACCAATAATTTTCAATTTCTATCCCACTTATTGGAGCATTTTCACTGCTTTGAGAAACTTGTTCCTGTAACAAATAACTAAATAATAAATAACACAGAAAAACATTATTTATAGTTATTAATACTTCTATAATAACTCATACTTACATGATGTGGAAAATCATTATCAATATCGTTTAAAGAACATTCAACATTATCAATTGTACAAACATTAGAAAGTGAAGCTAAAAAGTATTAATATAAATTCAAATTATTTATGAATGTTGGAGAGAATAATATTACTTTTTATAAAGTCATAAATTATTTCTTACGTTCTGTCCTATAAAAGATATTCTCAGATGTTTCCTTAGTTATATATGCCATAGTGTCCTCAGTATCTAAAATATATTGAATACTGGATGTTATTTTTTCTACAGAAATAATATTTTTAATATTTGAACTAGATTTTGCACCTATTTTTTCATACTGTTTAATATTTGAATCAAATTGAATAATTTTACCTTCAATATTATTGGTATCAGTAACAACTGATACTTTGTTGTTTACATCTTCTTCAATATCATGTTTACTAAAATTTTCAATGCTTTCGGTTTCTTTTACTTTTCTTGAATCATCTGGTTCTACTTGTAATTCCAAATGTTCTTCTGTTTGTAATTCCAAATTTTTTATACGTGTTTTAATATTTTCTAATAATGAGACACTTTCTATATCAATTTTATCAGAGTTTTCTGCATTATTTGATTTAGCATTAGTAGTAGTATCAGTAGTTGTAGTTATTGTAACATTTTGAGAAGACTGAATATCTTTTATTTCAATTTGATCAGAACTTCCAACATTGTCTTCATCAGATTTAGTGTCATTAATCGCAATTATGGCAATATTTACTGATGAATGAACATCTGTTTCAACTTCAGAGTTTTCTGCGCTTTGTTCATCTGATTTAATATCATTAATTGCAATTATTGTAACATTTTGAGGAGACTGAATATCTTTTGTTTCAATTTGATCAGAACTATCAGCACTTCTTTCATCAGATTTAGTATCATTAGTTGTAATTATTACAGAAGAATGACCATCTTTCATTTCAACTTTATCAAAATGTTCTATGTGTTGCTCATTTAATTTAGTATCACTGGTTGCAATTACTGTAACATTTTGAGGAGACTGAATATCTTTTGTTTTAATGTGGTCAGAACTATCAGCACTTCTTTCATCAGAGTTAGTATCATTAGTTGCAATTATGACAGAAGAACGACCATCTTTCATTTCAACTTTATCAGAATGTTCTATGTGTTGCTCATTTAATTTAGTATCACTGGTTGCAATTACTGTAACATTTTGAGCAGACTGAATATCTTTTGTTTCAATTTCATCAAAACTATCAACATTTTTTTCATTAGATTTAGTGTCATTAGTAGCAATTATGACAGAAGAATGATCATCTTTCATTTCAACTTTATCAGAATGTTCTATGTGTTGCTCATTTAATTTAATATCACTGGTTGCAATTATTGTAACATTTTGAGGAGACTGAATATCTTTCGTTTCAATTTGATCAGAATTTCCAACATTTTCTTTACCTGACTTAGTGTCATTAAATGTAATTAATTCAATACTTGCTGAAGAAAAGATATCTGTTTTAATTTCATTAGAACTTTCTACACTTTGTATATGTGGTTGAGTTTCAGATGTAGCATTTTCTAACGACTGAATATCTACACTCTTAGTTTGTTCAGTGACTCCCATACTTCGTACATCTGGCGCATTATTTACAACTTCTTTGCTAGAACTGACATCTTCTTTATTTAATTCAGTCACTTTTTTTTTTTCGATATTTGATTCTTCTTTGGAACCATTAATCGTAGATATTTGTAGATTGTTAATATCAATAATTTTGTCCGAGAATTGATTATCTTCTACATTAGTAAGCGTCTTATTATCTACATCCTTTGTTGGATATTCTACTTTATCAGAAAGTATACTTATATTCAATGGTGAACTGTGTATGCCAGATATTTGTGGTAAATCTAATATGTTCTCTGAACTTTTTACAAAATCTTGAAAATCAGCTTCATTAGAAGTAGCTTGTTCTTTGGTTTCTAATTTACTATTTAACATTTCAACTCCATTTTGTCCATTGGACACTACTGTTGCCTGTACATTTTCTTTTACAAAGGTTGGTTCAAAAGGCCCATTGTGATCTAAGTGAACTGTAGTTCCATCTATAATCTCATAAGATGAAGTTATATCACTTCCACTCTCTGGCAGTTCTTTTGAGGATTTTAAATCCAAATTATCAGTTTGTTCATTAGAAACTTTAATGCCTGACTTATTTTCAATATCTGATTTCTTCGATTGAAGCTTCTCATTCGATGAAATGTTATTAAATAATGAATCAATCGATACTTCATATTTTAAATCTCTATGAAAAATTTTATATTCTTTTACAAATGATTTTGGTATATATCCATGGTTACCATTTATCTAAAATTTATAAGATTCCCTTAGATTATAAGAAAGACTACAAAATAAAGAAAAACTTAAAATCAGCATATTTTTATATTGTTTTCAATATTTAATTTGATCTTATTAAAAAAGGTTTACTTGTCTTGTTATAAGATAATTTCACACATCAATACGAACAATGAAAGATTAATGAAATGAAATTATAAAAATAGAAATTAAAATTTACCTCTACACCCCATAAATCTTTTCTCCTGCCTGCCTCTTTACTGTAAACTGTAACTTTATCATTAATTTTAAACGCTAGTAATCCTGCCTCATTTGGACTATACTTGATGGTCGTCCTAGCTAATGAAATAGGCTCTATAGAAAATAAATTATTAAATAATTTAGAAGAATTACAAGGGAAAAAGATTTTAAATTAGATACATATTGCAGATAAAGTATGGCTTCAATTACCGGAACATTTAGGATCATAACAAAGTCGTTTGTCTGATAAAACTGAGGAACACTGCGATATTACACTAAATATTATTGCAATAACTAAAAATAATACGCTAAACAAATTCTCCGTCATATTTCTACTGCTGCAGTTCCACATCACTACTAATATATAATGACACAGCCTTGGACGCACATTTTATCCGTGAAGTAGTCTATATGAAGATGGTTCGTCGAAAGGAATATTTCATATTGTCGCGAAACGAATATTGACTTCACAGGATTGGTAATTCAATTTAAACAAAATACGGAAAGACCTGTGGGTTCATTGAAATTTCAAATTTTCCACATTTTGATATGTACATATACATAGATTGAAATTATTTCAATATATATATATGTATATATATGTATATTTAGACTTAGATTATAGAAAATATTATATTTAACAAATTAACAAACATATGTAAATAATAAATGGATACGTATGCATTCGGAACAAAGGATGCCAACCGAAACAAAATCATGCGAATTTTCAACGCATCTATTATTACGACTTTACTGGATCTAAAGTGCACATGCGCAATATAAAAAGTTGGAAACAATGTTCAATGCATTTGTTTCCATTCAATTCAATTTCAATGTTTGATATATTTATTATTGTTTGATTTCTTTCTGATATTTAGATTTAATTAATAAATTAAAATATGAAAATTGATTATAATATGAATATTGGTGACTTTTAATCGTTAGATTTTAAACACTGATCATAATAGAATAATACAATCATTTGCATTTAGAATGAAAATGTTATACTACAAAAAGTATAAGTAATATCCGCAGTTATAAAATTATTTTTTTCTGTAAACATTCATATTAAAGAATTTATGTTATCATAGTGTGCATTAATAATTTAATTATTATGATACAAAGTTCTTAGAATAATTGATTTATTTAATTATGAAAATGTTAAAGTTTATATTTTAATTTCTTCTTGAGGTTAAACAGTACGTTATAAAAAAACATATCAATTTTTCAAGTAATAATAAATGATCAAATTTTTAAAAGACATTTTTATTGAAATGAACTACGTAAAAACTATATAATAAATAGGAACTATGCAACTTTTAATATTAATCTATTCCAATTTTAAACTAATTTCAATGCACTCGAACTTTAAATTAATTATGGCATGGATGAAGTGTAGACCCAGATGAGGTTTAAGATAAATCCATCATTTTATAAGGCTTCGTGTCCTACATTCTGAAATACCGATCATGCAAAAAATCAGAAGTATGCGTGTATGTGTTTGTTATTTGATGCATTTTTCTACCATATCACAGACGAGATACATATGTGGATAGATCTCCTAACGTGCAAAGTATTTTTTTATCCCACGTTCGAGGAGTCCTAGGACTTTATTACTATTTTCACATTCTGTCGTACCGATTTGGAGAAGTTCTGCACCACAGCGCTACTAGTGATGAAAATTAAAACCAAAAAATGTGAACAATGTTGTCTTGGCTCTGAGAACTATTTACTGAATCGAATGCTTCATTAATAATATGGACTCTAATCAGGGTTAGATCAAATCACTATGGCACTAACTATGGCATCATCACATATAATGAAAGTAATACAGAGCCCAATATGCAGAACAAGATGATCACATTCTATGAGAACATCTACTCTATATTAAGAAGGGAATTCTAATAGTTGAAATAAGGAGAAAAATATCCTTTTTCAATAAGTCAAATAGACAAAAAAATCAGACATAATAGAAATAATGTATTATTAGACTCTAATAAATTAAAAAGTTCAAAAATTGAATACTAACATAACACAATGTTCAGATCTACTAAGAGACCTAATGGCAACTAAAACAATTAATTAAAATAATATCATATGGTATACCATAGATTATTATAAAGAGATACAACAAATATTATTTTACTTTATTATATTAAATCACATATGATGAAATTGAGATGTAGGGTAAGATTATAAATCAGTACTAAAGAAAAGATAGCCAAAAGTACAAAACAAGATAGAAACTATTATATTGTTCATGTGATTATATATATATTTTTATCATGTACATTCACAAATTTACGAATGTATTTTTTATGTAAAGGCCTATGAACTGTTAAGGCCTTAGATATTTTAATTTATAAAAAAAGAAAAAGAAGGATTTACTTATTTGGATGATTTTAATATCTTTATTAGAAATTATATTATATAATATAATATAAATCAATTGAAATCAAATTAAAACTTACTTATTGCTAGCTAGCGTTTAGTTAAATTTGGGATAACTTTTTTTTAATTTATGCTTTTTATTTTTGCGTTGATCGAACATGATCTAAGATTGTTTTCTTTATTGATCATATGTACAGTGACTCACGAAAGTATTTGAATACTTACTAAAATATTTCCTAAGTTATAATAAGTATGTTATACAGTACATACAAAAATATTATTAACACTGTATATACTCTGGATTATATAAGTAACGTTTCAAACAAATCGAGAAATATACATAATAGTTATGAATTGTTTTTCACAAACGTAGATTTCGCTGAAGCCACAAAAGTTTTGAACAAGTGACTTAAAACTCTAATATTTAGTAGGTCCACCTTTGGACGAATAATATGTTGTAAACGATTGTGCATACTGTTTTCTGTAACAGTTTTACTTTTCTGTAACACTAGATAATATAGAATTCGAGTATTTTTTCTTTCAAATTTGCTTTGGATGTTATGTTAAATTTTTGTAGCCCTTTTCCTATTATAACCCAAAGATGCTCGATCGAGTTAATCACAGCTTTGTGGTAGTGTGACCAATATGTGAGGAGTATTATATAAGATCCATTCTTTAACGATTCCTGCAGCATGCTTAGGGTCATTGTCTTGTTGAAAGTAAAGTAAACGTCTTCATATATATACCCAATTTTCTTGCACTTTCTTTTAAATTTTCCGGTAAAATGTGGAAATATTTATATTTGTCCATTGTTGCATCTATGAAGATCAAATGTTGCCTGCTGCCACACACGCCCAAATCTACTATAATCGAACCTCCCTCCTCCCCCTATGCACGCATGTTTTTTACATACATTTCGGTATTTGCTTGTCTCCAAATAAAACTCCGTCCGTCCGATCCAAAAACGTTGAATTTCGATTTTTATACTTTACTAATAAATTCCTTGGCGAATTTTAATCTTTTTTTCTTATTTATGTCGCTAATGTACGGCTTCTTTCTGAACTCTGGCATAATCATTTTCCCGTAGTATTCTTCTGCATAATTCTAGATGTACATTCTTCTTGAACTATTTCTTAACTACTATTGCAAGTTTTGTAGTAAGAATCTTTAGATTTTTTTTAATTTAATGAATCAAACTTCTTTCTTCTTTTTCTGTTAATTTCCTTGGACAGCCTGAACGGTACATGTTTTTCCTTCAGATTTTGATTTTTTAATGATATAATGTATCGTAGTTTCAAACTTTCTTAATCTTCTTTCAATCTCTGTCCATAAATTCTCAATAGACTGTATGTCCTTGAAGAGGAGAAAATGGTGATGGTGTTTGCGGTGTACTGTAAACATGTCGATACACAACTTGCTGAATATCCATCATCAATAGCATTCTTTTCTCATCCGAAAGTTTTTTTATATGGGGAATGAGACTCTCAAAAAACCGAATATCTTCATTTTGGTCTTCAGCTAGCAGTTTCAATTTCTTTTTTTCCAATTCCACTAATTTTGACCCAATATCACTTAAATGATTATGTGGTCTTTTAGATCTTTTCTTATGACTGCTGCTGCAACTGGCAACGGATGGGGACGGAGAAGGGCTACTATCCTCGAATAAGCTTTCATTTGGATCTAGCGTTGCAGGATCTACAGGTGCAGGGGATGTTGCTTTTTGCGAGGTCAAATTCTTATTCCCTTTATTTTCTCGAGGAGTAAATTGATCCTTGAGAAATAATAAAGGCTTAAAATATTGCCAGGAAGATACTTCTGCTTCATTTATTTGCTGATTTTCATCTAGATTTTCGATATACTCTCCAGTGCCATCATCTGACTTCGGCTTTATTTTTTTGTACATCTCAATACGAAATTTATCTCTCAAATTTTTCCACTTATTTCTAATTTCCTTACCTAAAACAAAAAAATTACAATTACTCTTTTTTTACGAATTATCTTTTTTTACTACTTTTTGGAAGATTCCTTGCGACTAGTAGAAGCTTCAAAGATTTTTCTTTGACATTAAACTTGGCTTCACTACTATAATAAAAATCATAGAATCAATTAACTTTATTATGGGAATGTCTTCAGCCGATCCACATGAAATCTCCAAATTCTGAAGATTTTTTGAGAATTTCAAATGATTTTTATAATATTTTTATTTCGAAATTTCCCAAATACAATTGATGTAATCGACGGAAAGCACATACGCTTAAAATGGGTCCCACCCAATTCTGGGACAATGTACTATAATTATAAGCAGTTCTTTTTCTATTTTTTTGCAAGCGATTGCAGATGCTCGTGGAAAATTTATAATTGCGGAAATTGGGGGATACGGAAAGAAAAGTGATGATGGCACTTTTCGTTCTTCAAAAATGTTTGAGTTGATGGGAAAAGGAAATTTAAATATTCTTACAGACTCTCCATTACCGGGAACATCAATCCAATGCCCTTTGTATTTATTGGAGATGAGATTTATCCACTGTTACGACATTTACTGAAACCATATAATCGAAAAAAATTTAGATCTACAAACAGAGTACTTCAATTCTCGTTTTTCTAGAGCAAGTATTGTAGAATGTGCATTTGGAATAATGAATGCCAAATGAAGAATTCTCTGGAAACCAATAGAAACATTGCCTGCGTTTGTTGACAATATTGTCAAGTGTATACGTGTTCTGCATAATGCAATCATTGATTTGGAAGGGAATGAAAGCCTCGAAATGTTTAACGAGCACGAAATTGCGAGAAAGTGAGAGAAGGTACAATAGGAAGAAATAATGATAGAGCTTCAGGCCACGTTTATTGATGAAAGGAATACTTTTAAAGCTTTTCTTTGGCTTTTCTTTAACAAAATCTGATTTTATGTAACGGCTTCAAAATAAATAAAAATGATGATAAATTAAAAGAAAAATCAAAAATATGGTAAAAACAGACGCAATTCCTGATCTGCGAATATAACGTAGTTAGTAAACGATCCAATACATGCGATATTTTGTATCAGTTTCTACAATTATATATTTCAAAATACATTTATATATTATTAATACACTGTCAATATATGAGAAATTGATTAAATATATAAACTGATATAATAATTTATAATAATTTATATAAATATATAATATATAATATATATTAATATAATTCTATATATTTCAAAATACATTCATATATTATTAATACACTGTCAATATGAGAAATTGATCAAATATATAAATTGATATAAATATAATAATTTATAATAATTTATATAAATATATAATATATAATATATATTTATATTCTATATATTTCAAAATATATAGAATTATATTAATATATATAATTCTATATATTTCAAAATACATTCATATATTATTAATACACTGTCAATATATGAGAAATTGATCAAATATATAAATTGATATAAATATAATAATTTATATAAATATATTTTATTATAAATATGTATATAAATTATTATAATTAACTTACTTGTACTATGCAGTTCCGTTGCCACTTCTTCCCAAAGTTTATCTAATATGTATCTATTGTGATGATTTCTGTCTTTTTGGTCCCATAAGGCACGTCTTTTATAAACTAAACTTATTAATGCATTAGACATGATGTGCAAACACGCGAAAATAAACGATATCGGGAACAATAAATGATACAAGGTGGAGCGGCGAGGAACGAGGATAGCGGCGAGATGAGCGCCTCGACAAAGCTAACCAATGTAATGTAACGGAAGTGTTTGTACTGGAATGGCGAGGAGAGCTGCGAGGAGAGCAGCGTATAATAGCGGTGCAGCTAGAAACAGAAATATTCGTTTCTACTAGCGTTCGGCAACATTCGGATGCATTCGGATGCATTCGGATGTATTCGGTAGCATTCGGTAGCGTTCTATCGCATCAATAGCATTCAATTGAAGATCTAAGTATTTATATATCTATTATTTCTTCTTTTTTATTATTTTTTTTATTTATTTTTTTATTATTTCTATTATTTATTATTTTTTTTCTATCTTCTGAGCTTGTTTTTTTTTTCGAGATATGACGTTGACATTATGATAATTAATTGTAATATTTTCTACATGTGTACAAGTTTTTGCTGCTTCCTCGAAGACATCTTGAGATATACTGAGAAGAATGGCTCGTTGTAGCATTTCGCTCCTCGCTGTTCTCCGCGTCACTGTAAACGCATCGCACCGCGCCTTACAGCTTTCCTCTCTCCTCGCCACTCTCCTCGCCGCTCTTCTCACCGCTCTGCTATAATCACTTGCTAAGGGAAAGAAGCCGAATAGTGTCGGATTCTTACCAACTAAAACCTCCACGGTGGGTTGCCTCTTGCGCATTGGAGAATCTCCTTTTTCAGGTATGATGCTCCTTGGGCATTTACCTCATTGAAGTCCTTCTTCTAAATGGGAGTCCTGTCCTCACTGCTCTTCTTGTTGTATAGAATAGAATATGCTAAATACAAAGAAAGATGCGAAGGAGTTGCGCGGCTTACATACTAACATACAGTGATGTCCCGTACGATACATGATATCTTTAACATAACCCCATACGGGTGTCCATAAGGTCTCTTTACAATTTCAAAAATTTATTACAAAGGCAATTGATGAGATATCTTCATTAGATTTGTTCTATGTGCTCAGTGGTTATCAAGGTTTTTATCACATTGCATTTCAGGTATCCTTTTGATGAATAAGGTACTGTTAAATGAACCTCTTACAAAATGGCTACTCCTCAAGAAAGTGTGTACCATGGTTTATTGAAACCAAATCGGATCTGCAGACTCAACGAAACTTCAGAATTATGTATGGAGGAGATCCACCATCAATTCGTGCATGGCACAAGAAATTTATGAAGACAGTGTTTGATAAAGGGAGGAGTGGACGACCAAGAACATTTGAAGAAAGTATCGATCGTGTAAGAAATCGAGTACCGTCTTGATGTGCTTCGTGCAACTAATGGTGCTCATATGAAGGTATATTAAATGAGGCAAAAAAATATATAACTTAAATATATACGTCTCATTTTGTAATAATTTCCACTTAATCTGTCTTTTCATTTGCCTTTGTAATAAATTTTTGAAATTGTAAAGAGACTTTATGGACACCCTGTACATTTTACATGAGTATGCTTAATATGTGCTACGAGTATAGCAAAATTCTCTGCTGGCTTCTCCTTGGTCCTTCGGCGGGATGCCTACTCTTGTCGTTGGATGCTTTACCGCGCTGTCGATGGTTTTGATTGACAAGACCCTAGGCGATGCCATCTTTCCCTGGATGTGTAGTGCCGTAATTCGGCCTAATGGAGGAGAATCTTACCATCATGGTTCCTACGCCAAAGTGTCCCGAAGTGGACGCCCTCCATTTATGTCGTTGCTGCAGTTGACGGAGATAATCGAGCTGCCACCGCAGCTCCAGAAGCGTTTGATGCATGGCTTGAAGAAGTTGAGAACTTCGAGGGTTGAACTATGTCATTTTCAAGGAGCTCTATCATCTGTTCGTCTATCTCGGCCTTGTGGATAGGCGGGTATCGATTATCTTGCGCGTTACAACGTTTATTTTTCCTAACTTGTCCACAGGAATGTGGAAAAAGTCACAGTGAGTCGATATGATATCGTCAGCGTAGGCCAGCTCTTCTTTGTTTAAGTGATCTCAGGGAATTATGTACGAAATTTCCTCGATCCATTTGTCGACTGTCTTAGTCTTTGATATTGAGCGAACTCGCGATTCAGAACTGAAAGGTGATTGTTTCGAGTCTGGCGGGCACGTTGAGATTTCCTCGACGTCTTCCAACAGGTGAAAAGAAAACGCGTTCTTCGTCGGATGTGAAATCTAATTCAAAGGTGCGTCCAATTTTGGTCAGCGACGTAGTTTGCAAACTTGGGCGCTTTACAGAATCGTCGTTCACGTGAAGTTTATACCGTCGCAACGCGTTCGTGGTGTTGGTTGTTGGCTCGATTTTGAAGGAAGTAAGAAAGCACGTCACGATAATTCTAAAGTCTAAACAAACGTCGGATGCCCGACGTCACAGATTCACCAACAAAGTTCCAAGATGAAGAGTTGGAAACATTGCTGAATGAAGATCCACCTCAAACGCTTAAAGAATTGTCAAAATCGTTAAATGTTGGTGAATCGACTGTAAGCAAGCGTTTAAAAACAGCAGGATTTGTTCATAAGCAAGACTATCGAGTGCCACGTGCTTTGGAAGACGTTTAACCATATGCGAATTGTTGCTTCAAAAACAGAACATTGGAAATCATTTTTGCATCGAATTGTTACTGGCGACGAAAAATGAATTCATTAATATATATAAATAAATGTATATAAATGATTACGAGGAATCAAAAATTGGCTTGATGAATCACTTCAAAAGAAGAACAATTTTTTTTATCATGGGATTCATTTATTGCGTGAAAAGTGGCACAATGTTATAGCTAACGATGACAAATATTTTGCATGGAGGTTGTTCTCACCGAGAACCAAACTGTGATGCGAGAAATAAATTCACCGAGCCAAGAATAAAAACTTTCAAATTTATTATATTCTCCACAGCAGGAATTTTCTTTGACGGTACCTTCATGCCTTCCGCTACTTTCTATTTCATTGCTGTAATCATACTTGACTCCCTAATTCTAAGGCTCGGCAAGTTTCTTAATCGCAACAATTCTCGACATAAATAAATATAAAATATATTGCGAAGGACGCATCCTAGGACCATTAGAATGTGTAAATATTACTTTCTGGGACCGACCTCGCTCGACATTTTGAATCAATTAGCTTACCTCCCTAATCCCGTAACAGGAGAAAATACAATAGAATCTACAGCTATACAAGACCAACTCACAAACTAAAGTCAATAGTTTGCAACAATCCAGCAGACCAGTCAAAAGTCTCACAGCACTCCTATGTGCAACTTACTCTCCTACTCATTCAAATCTTACTCTCCTATTCATTCAAATCTTACTCTCCTATTCATTCAAATCTTACTCTCCTATTCATTCAAATTTTACTCTCCTATTCATTCAAATTTTACTCTCCTACTCATTCAAATCTTACTCTCCTACTCATTCAAATCTTACTCTCCTATTCATTCAAATCTTACTCTTCTACTCATTCAAATCTTACTCTCCTACTCATTCAAATCTTACTCTTCTACTCATTCAAATCTTACTCTCCTACTCATTCAAATCTTACTTTCCTACTCATTCAAATCTTACTCTCCTACTCATTCAAATCTTACTCTCCTACTCATTCAAATCTTACTCTCCTACTTATTCAAATCTTACTTTCCTACTCATTCGATCTCACTTACTTAACTTTACATTCTTTACTCATATAATTTACTCATATAATTCATGTTCATCAGATTATCAAATCATCCAATCAAATCTCACTTCTGACGAGTGAATTAAAATCCTACTAGTCAACCTTTACTTGAACCAGCTGACTTTCATTCACGTTGAAAGCAGCAAGCCACCAATCTAATCAACGTCCCTAATACGTGGATTCGGATCGGCACGGTGCAGAGGTATTGTTTATTTTTCTATGTTAATAAAGTCTTAAGTTTTAACAAAAATGACGGAAATTTATTTAAGTACTTAATAAATCATAAATCAATGTTGCTTCACGAGTCACACTGGCAATGAATTTAAGTAATTTGTTAAAAAGAGATCAGAATAAGAATATCCCAAGAATAAGATATAAATGTTGAAACAATCAAGTAAATAATTTAAAACATTGAAATAAATAAATAAATTTTTCTTTAATGGAGTAACACGTAGAAAACCAAATAAAACTTGATTAATTGCTACAAACTAAATAATTGTCGAATATTTAAAAATATGGGAAATAATTTAATTGTTATAAATAATGTTGAAACTATGATGTTTGGAAATATAAAAGAATTAAATTGCTGATTCAATTATTATAAGTAAAGAGCAAAAATTGTTAAATAATATACAAAAATATCATAAAAATACATTAGTGACTCGGTTGTTGTAAATTATTAATTAAAAATTTTAAATACTTAAAAACATTACAGAAGAGAATTAATTGTTCAATTGTAATGTATAAATTATTAAAAACGATTAAACAATGCTTAAACAATTAGAATATTCAGAAATATTATTTAACCCTCCGAGTACTGAAGCGCGCAGTCCTATGCCGGGCTCATTTCTGACTCACACGGATATTCCACTAATCAGACGCATTTACGGTTGCTCGAGGGTCGATCTCACGTATATATACCAACACGTTGACGGTCGCTCGAGACTCGAGGTCCTCACGAACATTATACACGCTAAGGGTTGAACATTCATCGCTGTACGGGCGTATTGTATGTAATGTTCGCATTTTACATATATAGGAAAATATAATATATAATAGCAATGGTTTATAAAAAAATAATATTTATTCAACATTGTTGTGATAATCTTCCACGAGAGAAAGAGTAAAAGGTTCGTTTGCTTGTTGCGCGGGCATATCAAACAAATAGACAAATAAAACAATAATAATAAAACAATAAATAAAAACAATGATAATTGTTGCCGAGCGTGGATAGAGTGTGTACTTTGTTCAAATGCTGTCTGAAGCAGACTGGCGAGTAGAAACTATATAAACTTTAGGCTATATTTTCCTATTTGTCGTTAAGTGTTTCCAGAAAAATGATATGGCTATTACTGTTGGGAGTGTGTTTTAGCAATATAAAGAAAGAATGAAGAAATGACTATATTGAAAATGCATAAAGGAGAAAGATATTCAAAAAAAGTATGTCGGTGTATCCTCGTAGTTTCCTATTCTTCGTAGCAGTTTATTACCGATCGATCGTCACATCTGGTGACCGGCTGTAATAGGAATAAGACTCTTGCTATAAGGAACTAACCGATGGTGGTGAGCCTGAATCCAGCTAGTTAAAAATCATCCCGGCACAGTGCACGGAGTGTTAAAAATTGACTTATAAGATTTGATCGATGTGTATACAATGAAGGTTCAATTAGTTCTGCGAGTTTTATCTTGTGTGATATTTCGAAATATTAATTTTTCTATTGCAGTAATTAGTAATTTGATTATTTTTAGATTTTTGTTATTTTATAATCTCCATTAATTTAATTAAGGCAACAATAAATACTGCAATCTCTATATTTTTTACAAACACTTGACATTTGCACTGTAGTTTTTTAACTTATAACTCTGTTGACATATACTAAATGCTAATATATAAGTGATCTGTGATATATAATGCTAATTCATGTAGAAAATAATTATATTATAGTCAAAAATTAAATTGGTCTTCTCTCAGGAATAGTCATACAAATAAAAAAACGATCACGTTCAATTTGATATTACAGTTATAATAGATATAAATACGTCTATAGAATTAA